AATGTGTAAAGTTCAGTATACTCTAATCCCTTATTGTGATGGCACAGGACGAGACATACATTCGGCATATGACGAATACAAGAAGGGAAACAATGCCTCTGTAGCCACAAAGAATATCAAAGAAGTTTATGGAAATGTTATAAAAGTTCGTAAGTGTCAACGATGGTTCAGCAAATTTTTTTCAGGTGACTTTAGCTTTAAAAACTAGTGATGGCAGGGCCGACATGCTGGAATTGATATTGATGTTCTGAAGACGCTTGTTGAGTCTAATCCAAGGCAACACACTCGCGAAATGGCCCTGAAATTGCATGTCTCTCATGAAACAGATCGCAAACATCTAAAGAATATTGGAAAACTCTATAAAGAAGGTGTTTGGGTGCCTCACGAACTCTCCGATGATCATCTTTTCCAACGTGTGAGCTTTGCTTCGTCTCTTCTGGCACGTAATGCACGTGAACCGTTTTTGAACAGAATTGTCACCGGTGATGAAAAATGGATTCTCTATACGAATATTAAACGTCAAGAACAATGGCTCAGTTCTAGACAAAAACCACTTCCAACCCCAAAACCTGGACTCCATTCGCAGAAAGTTATGGTTTCCATTTGGTGGAACATCAAAAGAGTAATTCATTTCGAACTCCTCAATCCACAGCGACCTGTCAATGCAGAGATCTATAGTCAGCAACTGGAACGTTTAAATCAAGCCCCTCATCAGAAACACCCTTCACTCGTCAATCGGAAAGGTGTTCTTCTTCTCCACGACAATGCACGTCCACATGTGGCACGTTTGACGCAACACAAGGTTATGGAGTTGTGTTGGGAAATTCTTCCCCACCCACCATATTCTTCAGATATGGCACCATTAGATTACTATATTTTTCGTTCGCTGCAACACTATGTTAATGGGAAAACGTATGCAAATGTGGAAGGTGTTAAAGAGGACATCGACATGTTTTTTTTGTTCAAAGCCAAGTGATTTCTTTAATCAGGGCATGAACAACCTGATTGTAAGATGGAAAAACATCATCGATAAGAATGGAGACTATTTTGTTTAATAAATGTTTGTTTTGATATATACGTTTTTCGGGTTTTTTCATTTAAGAAAAGCGACATTAATTTCTTGATGATCCAATATATATATAATATTTTGAGTATTCACGAACGCTGGATTAAATTTAACTTTTTTATATCGTTTAACGTCTTAGTTTATCCATACACTAGCTTGATGTAGACATTTTGAAGTTTTTGGCGAGTTTTAAAAAAATCTAAGTTAGAGGTTAGTGACCATAATTCGTTTATTTTACTAGGTTTCTGTGAAGTTTCTCAATTTTATTATTACTTTTTTGGGTTAAAACATCGTTTTTCCCCCAACTGTTTTGCCATTACTCTTAGCTAATGATGGTACTTAAAATTAATTTTTAGATTTAAACTTTTTCAGTAGTATTTTTATTATAAACCTTAGGCCTATTGATTTTGAGTGCTTCATCTTCTTTCGGCGTTTATACCGTAATATTTCGATTATATGACGTAATTACAAAACTACGTTCTGGTACTATAAAATATCGATGGATTTGTGGTTTTAGGTAAGAATGTAGGTCCAAAAAATCTATTTAATACAAAAATACGAAACCATATAACCCG